TTTAAGGAAACCTGTCGTGATTTGAAGGCGTAATTATAACTTCTTTGAGTTGTCCATCACTGCAACAGAACCGACAAATGGCTTTCCGACGACTAGTGAGGACGGGCTGAACAATTCGCGGCCAACCTTTCAGCTCTTTTCATAAAAATTGTTTCATTTTAAGATTATTATCGTAAAATTACCGGTAATTTGAAAATTATTTATACGTTACTATACTGTACAGTATATACGGTAATAAGAAAAATGAATCACCTGGCTGCTGTTGATTTCCCTTTCGAAACACGACATAAGAATATCTCTCTTTCCCGACGACAGCGTTCTGTTCGACACAATTGGACTCAAATTATTGACTAAAAATTATTTACAAAAGAGATTAAACCTGTTGTCCGAATCGCAACGGATTGTATGTGACTTCGAAATTGCAGAGAACGGGACCTTTGGATGACTGTCGCGGACACGTCAAGTCATGCGGGCACTGGGTTTGTATATTATAGTAATAAATTTGCGGTTCGTATCTTAATTATACCGTAATAGTAATTAATGACATACCGGGGCTACGATTGTAGCATCGGTTGTGTTTTGAACAGTAGAGAGATGTGTATCATTTGGATTGTGCACGAAGTGAGCTGTAACCTTATGTCCAGACAATTGCAATATAAGATTACGGGCCTCGAGTACAGCTGCAAAGCCGGCGCGACTGCCGTGTTCTGCAACCACTAACACATCTTGAGTTTTATGCCAAAGATTCTCAATCACATGAATCCTATTCTTAGCGTCTGGTATGTCTAGCAATGAAAACGCCGAAACCACTAAATCGTATTGAATCTATTATTTAACGAATCAATCAAACTAATCAGTGTACAAAATAGGGGGTCTTAGAACAGTCAAGAATATCATTCATATCTTAGATATCAATGTTTAAATGTTAGCAATAATTGAGTTTTATATAAACATTTGAATAGAAAAGGAAAGGGAAGTGAACTCACGGTATGAGAAACGGGTAAATATTGGCGATAGAAGACGGGGTCGTAAAGCATTTTCTTATGTTCTTCGCCTCCTTGTAGAAGAAGTCTCGAGAGTTCGTTCATTT